TTAGGGAAATGAGCTAGAAATTTGATTGGTTAATGAAATATATTGGATACAACATGGATTTAAGAACTTTAAAGTTTAAATACTCAACCCTACCAATAATGGCGGTGAAAGGTGTTCATCATTGAGTTTGGTTTTGGGGAGACATTTTTAGGTGTCTACATAAGCCCCTAATTTGACTGAGTTTGTAGAAACATCAGTTTCGAAAACGATAGTCAAATCAGTCGATAGGGACGGAGAATGATTTAATATGTTCTGCGATCCTAAATCACTCTGTATACGCCGATACCTGCAGAAAAATGTTAGTTCCATATATAAAAGAGTAAAGGAATACAATGCTTATCTTACACCAGTGTATCGGTGACAAATGAGTTTGGTAGCTTCCTATGCTTGAAGGAATCCACCGAATGACATTTTGTTGAAATACTTTCCATGCCTGAGGAAAGTCGACTGATGTGTTTGGTAGCTTTCTAAGCCTAAAGAAGCTTACCGGATGATACTTTCCATGCTTGAGGAAAGTCGACATATGAATTTGGTGTTTTTCTATGCTTGAAGAAACCCACTGATAATACTTTCCATGCTTGAGGAAATCTGACAAAGGAATTTGGCGGTTTTCTATGTGTAGGGAATATTTCAAGTGTTGATCCCCTAGCTTGAACCCGACTGTGATCATACACTAAAGTACGGTGGCATCCAAAGGGAAAGAAGATAGAGCAAAAGAGTCGCCAACAAGTTTTTTTAGGAACTTGTAAATCGTTCACGAGGTGAAGGTTACACCCCTTAACGATCCAAGAGATCGTCAACTCCATAAGGTCTTGAACCAAATAGGGTTCGGGGATGAAGGTACAAATCCAACCTAAAAGAGATTGAACCTTCCCTAATAATAGGCCTCTACTTTATTCTGATCGTATTCATGTGCGCTTTCTGAGTAACATGCAAGCAATAGGATTAACATAAACATGTTTATCTATGTTGGTTGTATATTAATGCACATATAAAACTATTATTGGCGATCACTTGAATTATTATCAAATTAACCCTAACAAGATTATCAATATCTTATTAAGCGTGATTACAAGTATAAATTCCCTTTAAACATGCATAAAAAGGTGTGATCAAGCAATAAAAATTAATATCAAGCAACATGATAATTATCATTATAAAAATAATAATCATCATAATAATAATTAAAATAATCATGATCATAAATTATAACAATTATAACCATAATTAACATAACCATGTTAAAGCATAATAATAATAGCAAGATCCTAGGCATGATACTAACAAGATTAATAACAAACCCTAGCAAGTTACTAAGCAATAAAAATCAAATCTTTAATCCTAACATGATACTAACAATCATAAATATTAGAAAGAACATAAAAGGCATCATACTTTTAATCATACTTGATATTAAAATTACCCTAGACATGATACTAGGAATCGTAATAACAACCTAAACATGAACTCTATATCATAACATCAATAAAAACCATTAAAGTGCTTACTTTGATGTCTCGTACCTCTTTCTAATAACAAAATACACACGTTAGTAACTTCAAGGAAAATAATAAACAAAATAATTAAATTAAAAAATGGAAAGAGAGATTTGGGACCAAACCCTCAGAAATTAAACCTTTCACGTCGAGGGAGAAGGCAACTTCGAATATGGCTAGGTGTTTCTAGATCTAATGAATTCGTAATTTTCTATGTGAGAGAAGCTTGTTTAGAAAAGAGAGAGAGAGAGTAATCAAGAAAATCTTGATGAGAGTTGGTATATGATTATAGATGAATGAAAATTTGTTATTGATGATAATTGATAATGAAAATGGAGATTTCAGCACGTTTTTATAAAGAAAATCAGCCAAAAAGATAAAATATCAAAACAGAGTTCTAGCGCACATAAAACTGAATTAGCGCCAACGCCAATGCTGGCGCCGGGCGCCAAGCGTAGCGCCAGGCGCTACAGCTGGCGTTTGACGCTGATTCGAAAATTCATGCGTTTTCTTAAAATCAGATAAAAATTGTCGTACAGGAGGATAAAATCATATTTTCCTCAAAATATGTTCTTTGATTTTAATTAAAACTATAAAGAGTCAACAAAAGTCAATTTATCAATGCTAATTGAATTAGGAATGAAAAGAACCTTCTATAAGAATTTAGAAGACTAAAACCATTCCTAATTGCATTAGGAATGATAGATCTATTTTAGGCCCTCCTCTAGATCATTGGGCCGCATATAAGGCTCAAACCGGACCCAGTTTAGTAAATTGGCCATAATTTCCTCAATATTCATCGGAATTGGGCTTATAATATATCATTGGAAAGCTCTTGTCAAGCCCCATCCAACTACACTACTATTGGACCCATATCATGGATTAACAAAACTTGATTGGCTGTTTTCTTAAAATAGGTTTTCAAAAACAGAGAGAAGAGAGAAGAAATTAAAACATTCCGCAACACTAGACTTTCCACACTTTCACTTCTTTCGATTTTGATTCGACGCGAAAGGTAGTCATCACTGGGTTTTGTTTTAGGGAGATAAAAATGAGTGTCTACAGAAGCCCCCACTTTGACTGAGTTTGGAGAAACGCAAGTTTCGAAAACAAAAGTCAAAGTATCGATAGGGACGGAGAATGATTCAGAACCTTCTACGATCCTAAACCACTCTTGTAATGTCGATACCTGCAAACTAGTGTTAGTTAAAAAGATAAAAGAGTTAAGAAACGCATATCTTGCACCGTCGAGCACACGTCTCTAAAAGTAACCGATTTGTTGCCGCATTCTATTGTTTTGATGACCTCCTGCCAAGAGAATGTCATCCCGCTTGAAAACCGCTACGCTTGTAACTGCTTCCAATATAGAAGATTGCTTCGCTTAAAACGATCCTCTTCCGCGTTGATAATATTCCAAGTCCAAGGGAATACCATCGAAGATTGCTTCGCTTAAAACAATCCTCTTCCGCATTGATAATATTCCACGTCCAAGGGAATACTATCGAAGATTGCTTCGCTTCAAACAATCCTCATCCGCATTGATAATATTCCACGTCCAAGAGAATACTATCGAAGACAATTTTGCTCGAAATCACCTTCATTTGTTTGCGAAAATTCTCCACAATCTAGGGAATGCCATCAAAGATATCCTCGGTTGAAGCTATCCTCATTTTTTGCGATAAATTCCCAACGGAAATTACCGAAGATCTCCGCTTGTCGATCCTTAAAAGTTCGCTTGAACTTTGCTTCCGCTATGCCTGTATGTCGGCGCTTTTGTTGCTTTTGAACCCGTACGTCGGTGTCTTTTGCGAATGAACCACTATGTCGGTGCCTTTTGTTAATGAGCCAATGCTTAGGCGCTTTAAGCTAAGTGAGACGATCTTTCATTAGGTCGATCACTTTATGCAATCAAGCCGATTACTAAAAATCGTGTCAAATTGCTTAGAGGGGCTAACTGGCGTAAACATATTGCAAAAAGGTGGAGCAACCTCACTGAGTGGCTGAGTGTTCTGGCGTCGCTGAAAACACATCAGCGCCACATAACTGGCTGTAGCGCCAGACGCTAGGATTGGCGCCAGGCGCCAAGCCTATCTGTTGACGCCAAGGTCTAGTGCTTGGCGCCAGAATAGGGTATTTCTTAAATACCCCTTCCTTCTTCATTTTCGCTGCTGCTCGTCGCGTTTTTGCTCGAAAATTTCCAGAAATTCATTTGCTTCGTTCTTGCTCGTTTCTCAACCAAATTCGCTCAAATTTGTTGCAAATAAAAGTTTATTTCATCTATTTTCCCAATCTATGTAAGTTTTCTTCGAACTCACACTACAAGAAAAAGGGTAACTAGCGACGGCCAATGTGGTCGAAAATCCGTCGCAAAAATGGATTTGCGACTACTTTGGTTCGTTGCCAAAGACCTCGTCGCAAATCCATTTTTGCGATTAATTTTTGGACAGTCGCAAATTTAGCGACGGATTTGCAACGCCTTTACAACTACCATTTAGCGACTAACTTTCAAATTTTAGCAACTATATTATTGTCCGTTGTAAAATATTTGCGACGGATTAGCAACTATTTAGACCAATGTTTTAAGACTACTTTTGCGACGGATTAGCGACTACAAGACCAAATTTTTGCGACTACAAGAATAAACTTTTTCGCCTACGGAGACTAGTTTAATTGCGATGGATTTGCGACTACTAAGACTAATGTTTTTTGCGACGGATTAGCAACTACTTACGAAACAAATTTTTGCGACTACAAAACTAATTATTTGTGACAAATTAGCGACTACTGTAACTAATGATTTTGTAACTAACGAATCAGTCTCTAAACCAAATTTGCAGCCGCTAAATATTTGCGACTGACGATCAATATTTGAGACCATAATTTAGCGACAACCAATATCAATCACAAAAAAAGGTACCCACGCATAAATTCAAATAACCAAAATGTTAATTTTATTAAAATATCCAAAATATAATCAATTTTGTATCAATGTATTAAAAAACAATATTTAACTCATATGACTAATTGTTCCAAAAGTCATCTCCCATATAAAAAAAGCTGCTTCAAATAAGAACTAATGACAATGTAAAAGACCAGTTGTTCATAAAATTACCACCAAAAAAATAAAAATCACTTAGTTGTATCACGAGAGCGGGTGATTGCAGGCGTAGGAGGCTTATAAGGACGGTAAACGTGTTTTACAATTGATGCCATTTCCTGCAATGTTTTTTGCATAGCTAATTTTTCCTTCTTCCATGTAGCTTTTTCGATCTCATGATTTTCGACGAATTCCTTAGCACATTTTAAGCTCTCTACAGCTATTTTTTGGCTTTCTTCCACCTTGTTATAGTTTTATTCCGCCATCTTCTTTAGTTCTTCAACTTGAGAACTTAATTGAGAAATCATGGAAGGAGTGGAAGATGATGCAGTAGATTGAGAAGTAGGATCGCTCTTGTAATACATTTGTGAAGCACTCCCTAAACCGTAGACTTTTCCTTACTGTTGCCCACCTACAACCTCCAAGTAGACTTTGTCGGGGTTTATCTCAATTCCTTTGTTCTTATATTCCTCAAGTTTTTCCATATATTCTCCCTGCATTAAGATATGTATTAGTAACTATGATCTCAAATGTTAAAACTTAAATAAACTAAATACATTTAAATAAAAACAACTATAATAAAAATACAAGCAATGACTTGGGACATCGTCCGGGCCTAAAACTAGTTTGGACTTCTAAAACACAATTTAATTTAATTTGAGGGTGGGTGGTGATGGTTTGGAAATTCCTGAATGTGAGGATTAGGGGTAAAAGTGTCATTTTACCTCTTAATAAATGTTCCAGATTACAAAGGTACAACTATCAAAGAACAGAGGATCAGGGGTATTTTTATTATCGTTGTTTTATTTTTTAAAATAAAAGATGCAACACTTAAAGCAAAATAAATTATGTAAGCAGTTATTAGTAAAAATTTCGACAGAGTCTCCTTTGTAAATTGAACAATTCCCTCCTATAGGGTATGGATTCAAAATAAACCTGTTTCAATTCACATTATTCCATACCACATTAATCATATGATTAATGCCGGAAAATCATTCTCATCCTCCAACTCAATAACACAAACAATTAAACAATCCATAATATCTCCGAACATTAACTACCATTTTTTTTTTTTTTTGTAATCTTAGAAAAATATAGAAGTATACTCATACCATGACTTTTTGAGACTTGTCACCCATCAATTCAACTTCATCATTGCCCACACAAACATAATGAGTGCTCTCATAGACTTTAGCAACAGTTGGTAAAATTCCATCCTTTTTCTTTGCCTTGTATTAGAAGAAGTTGTTAGCACTTATAGAAAAACAACAAAAAAAATAGGGGAACATAGACTACATAGCAATTGTAATAAAGACCAGTTTAGTCATCTATATTAGTGGCTAAAAAGTTTCTACTTGCTTCTATCTTATATTAAAAATCATAAGTTTGTTGCTAAAATCATACACTTACCATTTTTTTAACCACTTGAGGAGTAGATACGCTACCTTGGCGATGCTCAAGGTCAAACTTCTCTAATGTTTGGCCAGATAACCGATTATCTCTTGCTCGGTTAGAACGTTTTACAAAATCAAGATGCTTACGCTTATTTATGAATTCAGCTGGAACAGTGTCAGTCATGAAACTAACTTGCTTATGGAGAGCCATTTTGTAAACTTGGTTCAATGTGCCCCTAACTCGGTCCCCAGCTTTTTTGTCAAATTCTCTCCTAGCCTTAGCATCAAACTCAAGTCTCCAAGTATATTTACGCTGCATTAGAATTAACATGTAAAGTTTAGAATTTAACTCAAAGTAGCATATTATACATAAATCATTTTATTTCTAATTTACAACCTGGTATGGCTGCAGGAGTGCAGGATATTGCACAACAGCACATTATAGTAAGCCAAAGCTCAATTAACTACCAAAATTTAACGATCTATCTCATTAAGATACACTAAAATATTGGCATGACGAAAACCATGGGCAACTCGTGAATCAATAATCTAGTGGTCATTTGCTTGCACTATGCTAAAAGAGGAAGAGGACAAGAGTAGTCTCTGGTGGGATTAGAAGTGTTGCTGCTGTGGGTCGTGGCAGTTGGAGGTGTCGTGCTGCTGGCACTGTGCGCATCAACACTGATGCAGCGGTGTTGGAAGGGTGGGGTGTGAGCTTGGGGGCTCTGATTAGGGACTCTGATGTCAGCATTATGGATGTGATGGTTCGTAGTGTGAGTGCTCAGGTCCCTGTGGCTATGAAAGAGGCTTTGGAAGCACGAATGGGGGTGATTTTGGCTACTGAGTTAGGCTGTCAGAGGGTGGATTTAGAGTGTGAGTGCTCATTATTGGAACTGTTGGAAGTTACTGGAGTCATATAGAAAAAACTACTAATTCTGGGTCAAGCACAAAAGGTACCAAAAGCAGATTCAGAGAGGTTAGTCTCTGATAATATAACTGTCTTTGATAAATTCTGTTACATGTTACAATAATCATTTGATTTTTTTTGTGCTAAATGTCTTTGATTATGGTATTGCTGTGAATTGGTGATTTGATTGCAGAGTGCCGAAGTGATTTGGGATGCAACACCGTTCGAAACGAGATTGGAGAAAGTACTTGAAAAAGAAGGCAGTGGTGAACTTTCTAATTTGTGAAAAGGAAAAAGAAGGCAGTGCCGAAGTAATTTATGAGGTAACATTGAAGATCATAAGTCATATTTTGTCCTTTTTTATTCAAGTACCTTGGGCTGTTTGGGTGCCTATAAAATATTTAGGCATGAAGTTTAGCTTCTGCTGTATAGAAATCACAGTTAATTTTTAAACATCAAACTTCTTTTATTTTCAGGTTATTTCTGAAGGTCTTGGAGTTGTGAAAAAGGTCTGTAAAAGATCATAATCTTGTTTTAGCATATAATTTCCATTTTTCTTATCATAGTATAATGAACTGAAACTCTTGTCTGGTATATGTGATTGAGTGACTCTCTTCGATATAATAAGTGTTTAGAAGTTAAACTACTTGATAGAGCCACATATCAATTTCTCTTCTTTTAGCATGATACATTGTCTAGCATTAGTAATTAGGTGATGTACTACGCCAATACGTAAAAAGATTAAAGACAATGTCTCATGTTACCCCCATATCCCCAAAAAATTGATGGGTAATATCACAAAATGAAGTTCATGTAGTACTAGTGCACCAGAATTGCAAGTGAGACTATGAGAGGGACTGAGGAAGAGCAAGAGCAAGAGACATTTGTTCAAGCAGAGATCATGTTTACCATTCAGAAGGATCAAACCTAAGTCTTCTAGGACTGTTAGAATTACGAAGTTCATTAAGTCAATGCACCAAACAAAAATTAGTAATCAATCAAGCTTTCCTATAAATTCTTAGTTAATTTGAGCATAATTACATTGATAATTATCGGTCCTTGACAGATAGAGCAAAAGGAACGACATACAAAACACAGTATTAAGGCTAATATGATTTAAGAGCAATGAATACAAGAGAATGTCTCAAATTCTAAAAATACCTTAAACTTAGTGAACCAACGATCTCTAACCATAAGTGGCACCTCAGTAAAATTCATGTATGGGTGGTTGTAGTGTGCCTTCCAAGATTTTGTGACATTTCTACTAACGGTATGGTCATCAAACCTGATGCAAGAAAGATTAAGCACAAGCATAAATAATGATAATAAGCTACTAAGACAACAAATATAATACATAGATAAATATAACCGACCATAGCCCATCTGGTGAGAGCTCAATCTTTCCTTGTTCCACTCCATTCAAATTTTGTGGTGCCACATCATTCTCAACAGCAACATCAGCATTAGAATTTACTTGTACATGTTCATTAGAAGGTGGTTGTGTCGGTCGTGTGACCACAGGATTGTCTTAATCAACCGATTAATTATTGGCCCGGACACCGCCTTGATTACCTCCCCAACCAAATTTTGTATTTTTCATGAAGGACTTCATTTCCAAAGAACTAGAAAGATCAGAAGCACAATAATTAATTTATACATAATAACCCATAATAAAAAAAAATTTAAAAAGTAAGCTCACAAATATGATCAGCAAATTTTAAAACATTTATCATATACCAAATAAATAAGATAAACACATTGTCTATCAAACAAATAAGCCCATAACAAAGAAAACACATTGAAAACTACAAGCTTAGAAATTATTCCTCTTCTTCATCCACATCATCATCATCATCATTCTCGTCATCGCTCTCGTCATCGCTGTCAGTATATCCTAACTCTCCATTAATCTCTTCTTCAGATTCAGATTCAGTATCATCCCATTCATCTTCTTCATGTTGTTCTTCCTCTTCACCACCTGAGCCGTCCACCTCCATTTCATCCATATCCTCGTACATAACACCATGATCATCATCTGACGAACAAAGGGTTGGTGTCTCAGCAATGTCTACTTGGAAAATTGACTCATCGATTGGGGCATCCACACTTGACCTAGCTTTAGTCTTAAAAACAGCCCACCATTGACTCTTATCTTTCCTTAAGCTTGGATAAGAGGTAAAATACACTTGATAAACCTGATGTGCTAGAACAAAAGGATTATATGCAGGGTATTTCTTAGAGTGGTTCACATCAACTAATATATACTTCTCATGAATATTCATGCCATTCACTGAATCCATCCAATTACATTTAAACAAGACGGTTTTGAAGACATTTACGGTCCCCAAGTAGACCAACTCAATGACTTCTTCTAAAATGCCGAAGTAATCAATTTCCTCCTCACTTATTACACCCACACCATAATTCATAGTTGCCTTTTGCTTTCCATAATCAAAAGTGTGAAACTTAAAGCCATTGATGTCAAATTGCCTCCATGTTTTGACTTGTCTAGACGGACACATGGCAAGTGCTCGAATCACTTCATCTGTCTCATTAGATTCGATAACCTAATTTCAAATTCAAGCCATTAATTAATAAAATATATAACCTTAGTCATATTTAGCGAATGATATATCGAAACTTGATTGTAAAAACTTACAAAATCCTGAAACCATTTGGAAAAATCATGTGAAAACTTGCTCCAAATATCATGTAGGTCAATACCAGGATATTTTTGCATCATCGACTCTTCAAACTTGTTATAACCTTAAAACGTTAATTATCTAGCAAATTGCATAAAATAACTGCCAATTATAGAAATTTGTACCTTTCATATTCTCCTAACACCCCACAATTGGAAAGAACATAGTGGTGTGCATGCTTGACTTCTTTCGAATCTAAAAACCTTGTTTGGACACCTTTGCCACGACCTTTGCTAAATTGGAATAATTTTGGTATAGTTGAATCTAGATAATCATCATCAACAACATTGCGTCCTAGATCTCTAGATTTCGTATCAACATGAGGTTGAAAGTAATAAGAACAAAAGTTAGAAATCTCTTATACAAGATAAGCCTTGCAAATTGAGCCTTCCACTTGTGCCTTATTACCAATTTTCTTCTTCAGATGGTTAAGAAATCTACAAAATAAGTTAAATTGACTCATTCACATGTAAAATTATAAATCATATAGAAGAAACTTCTTTTTGGTAAATAAAGATTTTATTACCAAAAGAGAAAGTTACAACTTACAAGAGCTAAGTAATAACTACCACCAGAACAACACAGAACTTGAAAACAGGCCACCCTCCAAAGAAACCAGTTCAAGCCAAACCTAGCCACCTTCTAGGAAGGGTTCTAGGAAGGGCCTAGAACAAACTGGACTCAGGTTTCCAACTACCTTCTAGGAAGGGCTCTGAAAACCAGGACCAGACAACAAAACCAAAAACCATACAATAGACAGCTGAAAAAACCTTAGCAATAGCAGACAAGCCTGCTAAAAGCACCCACAGCCAGCAAACTAAACATACAAGTATTTTCTATCAGATTCAAGGAATCTACAAGCAACAACAAAAATAATATCTCTAAAAGCAGTATCTGCAGGCTTGTAATCTCCAATAAACATCAGAGTATTTCTCTGTATCCAAATACAGTGAATAGCCTCTACAAAGCACATAAGCAACAATCTTCCTTTTGTAGTGGATCTTCTACCTTGTTGCAACACCCAATGAACTTCAGAGTCAAAATTTTTCCCAATTCTGGTAAAGCCAAGAAGTTGCAAAACCTTGTTCCAAATACTAGCAGAATAAGAACAGTTGAAAAAGAGATGAGAGACATTCTCTGCAGCATTAGAACTGAAAAAACATAAAGGATCACAGGTTATATTCCAAGTAGCAAGTCTATCTTTGGTGACTAGTCTGTTCCATACCGCCAACCATGTAAAAAATACACTCCTAGAAGATGCCATGTTGTTGCAAATCAGTCTCTTCCAAGTCACTTTCTCAGCTTGTGGTCTGATATGCTTGTAGAGCTTCCTAATGCTCATTTTACCATTAACTATAATGCCAGTCCACCCACCAATATTATCAACCAAAGCTGTGCAACTCATGATCTTCTTTAAAACCCAAGAACATTTTTTAGGAACAGGAG